TTTTGAAGTTTTGGTACGTTTCGAAAAAATTGCATCAGAAGTTCAAAACGTCATAACTCCTGAACGGATGAATATTTCAAGATGAAATTTGAAATCTCTCGATGAAATTCGATGTAGCTTTCTATGGAATTCTTAAAAATTGGATATTACTAAAAATGTAAGAAATTTCTTGGGGGGGCTCAGGAAAATGCTAATTTTTTTCGCAAACTTCTATTACAAAAATCATCTGATGGAAAGTCATCATTGAAGACCAATATCAACCTCCATCAATTTTCATTTGGATCCCATGCTTTAAAGCTGAGATCCAGCATACCAAAAAATCCTGGCGCCGCCACTAGTTCCGGTTCTTATCGGTTCTTACCGGTTCCGGTTTCGGTTCCCAACGGTTCTTATCGGTTCCGGTTCCGGTTCCAATCGGTTCCATCGGTTTCGGTTCTAAAACCGGAACCGGTATCGGTTAAAACCGGAACCGGTGCAACCCTATGCAAAATTATTAGCTATGCCATTAAATAATTGTATTTTTGATTATGAAACATTATTTGAATTTAATTATGATAAAGAAGTATGAATTTGAAGAATTTTTGTTAAAACAAAATGAAATTGTTTTTGTTTTATTTAGGTTAAATTAATGAGTAATGCATTTTGTTTATCAAGTTTAGTTTTAGCTGCTGATCCAAATAATTTAGCATATCAAATAATTGGTCGTCTTTCATTCTATAAAATATGTTGTAAAGTGACTTCATTTATTGATCAATGTGAAAGTATTGGTTTACAACATATGGATCTTGTACACCAGATTATAATACATTAGCATCACCTGGTGGACCACTTGTTTATTCATTAGAAGCACATCAATTTCTGGTTTATGGTCTTGAAATTATTGCAGCTGGTCAACATCTTCTAACAATATCAAATAAATTTAATATATTTGATTTATCAAGTGGTGATATTATATGAACAATTGATCCAAGAATTGAAGATATTATAGCATATTTATCTGTTGCACCTGATCAACATTATTGTGTAACAACAACAATAAGTAATCAATATATAATATGTAATTTATTACCTAGAGAATTTATTTGACGTGATTATCAAACACCTGGAAATTCGAATAAAAATCAAATTAAATCACCATCTAGACAACAACCTGCAGATTCATTATTAGGTGTTGTTGTAAGTAATACACATTTTGCATTATGGACAGCAAAAATGTATCAAGTATATACGAATAAAGGTAAAAGTTTTAATTAATTTTTATTTCGAAAAATTATTATTGAATTTTGTATTTAAGGTGAATTATTTGCATCTCAACCAACACATTATCAAATAATTCAAATTGAATTATTATCTGGATCTGAAATTGAAATTGTTTGTCGTTTGAAAGATATTAAAGATGATCAAGAAGTAGCACGTGATCGTTTTACAATTGATTATTGTTTTATTACAAATCCTGATCATCCAACTAATATAATTGATAATAATGAACCATGTTGTTTAACTGGTGATCATAAAAATATTCATAGTGCATTTATATTAACACATGATAAACGATGAATGTATATTTGTTGTGAAATAAATGATAATAATGTTGAAGTTTATGTTAATAAACCACATCTGGTTAATTATAAAACGGAACGTATATGGGAATTTGATCATCAATTATTCGAAAATAAAGATCGGTAATTTAAGTTTTTTTTTTAGTAAAGGATATAAGAAACGAACATTTCTTTTAGACAAAAGTAGAACCTATCGAGTTCAAAAAAGTTTAATAAATTGAGTCCGAACTCGTTGGAATCTATCAAAAAGGTCTATTAGGATAATAAATCTGATGATTGATAACTTCGAAATCTGTTTATATTATTTCTATTTTTAGTATATTTGCCTTTATATTAAGTAATGATGAAATTTATCTAATGACAGTTACATTTAAAGGTTTTAAAATTTTTTCATTTGGATCATATTTATGGAAAACATGTTTATTACCTGATGGTGTACATAATATAATCAGTGGTATGGAACAATTAACACATACAACAACATTTTCACATGATAATCGGTTTGGTTTTGTTTTGCTCTTTTCTTTTGAATATGTATTTAATTATTTATTATTTATTATTTAGTTATTGTATCGCTTGTGTTAAATCAACAGTTTATGTATTTGAAATTGAATGGGGAGAATTATTAACTTCATTTGATTCACATTTTGGTCATATACTTGTTATAAAAGGTATATCAAAAGGTAGTGGTGGAAATAATTATGTTATAACAATTGGTATGGATAAAACAACAAAAATTTGGAATGTTGAAAATGTACGTAAAAAATCTAAACAAATATCACAATTAGATACAGCTATTGAAATAATGCATATATCAACAGATACACAAATAATAATGCCACAAACACGTACACAATTATGTTTATTTAGTATGAAAACTGGTTTAATTGTTGGACAATTAATTGCTAGTCAACATGGATTAATATATCAATGTAAAATAAAAGTTTGTTTTATGAAAAATTTTGATTGATTTTTTCTTTTTTTTTAGGTACAGTTATGTGTTCAAATGGTTTATTTGGAGTAGCAGCTGAATCAGAAGATTTTGTTATATGGGATGTTGAAGAACGAAGAACAATGTTTGTAACATGAATTAAAGGAATTTTTCAACTTCTTCATACTGCTGAAACAATGGTATAGAAAAAATCGCTCCTGATTTTATTTAAAATTGGTTTTGTTTTTAAGATTTTAGTAATTAGTTCTGAATCAATGATAACAGCTGTTCCAAATACAATAAATGGTTCAAATTTAAATAATGCACTAATTGAACAAACTATTCGAGCTGTGTTATATGCCATATCTGATGGAGATATGATTTATGAAATATCATTTAATATAAAACGTATGAATCAAGCAAAAAAGCTATATGTACAGCTGATGATACATATTTAATATTTGTTGAAGAGAAAAAATTATGATGTTCTTTCATTATATGATCCAATTACTAGTGAATATTTACATAATGTTAAATTGACTTATAGTGGTTATAAGGATATTATTTCAATAGTTATTATTAAAACAACCTCATCCTATTGGATTAATTGATGTTGATAAAAGTTTTGTTATCAATATTTAACATGAAAATGTATTTGTATATTTTTGACTCAAGAATAATAATTTTATTTATCATAGGTTTATTTAACATTACCAAAATGGAATGGACAAATATTATTTGATGGTAAATATAGTTTAATATACTTTGATTCGTGCTGGTCTTGAAATAGTTAAATTTCGAACTGAAAAAGTTGTTCGAACATTAATTGGTAAAGTTGCTGAATGTGTACCTGATGTGATAAAATTTTTTACATCAACCAATAATTATGTTATTTCTTTTATAATAAAGATAAACGAATAATAATACATGTTTTTCGTACCGCTGATGGTCAACAAATAGGAGATACGAGATGTCCAGCAAAAGTTCAACGAACAATCACAACACAAGATGAACAAACATTAGTTGTTGGATATGAAGATGAAGCTGTTCAAATGTTTTTTATAATTGATTGATTTGATTCAACAATAAAGCATATTTAAAAAACTGGGGAAAACAACAATTAGAATTCAATGTTGCACCTTTAAACAAGAGATTATTGATAAACAATATGAACTTTGAATTGGTTTTTCTGAATGTTATAGTTTCATTCACACTTTTGTTGGATATTTCTTTCTTTTCTTCTCTGTTCTTCTATCATGTCGTATAGATAACACATACGACATACGTATATGTATTCTTTACTTTTCTTTTTTTTTTTTGTTACCTTTTCTTTCAGATATTTTTCAAACATTCACTTATTCAGACAGTTTTTCTTCATGTTCTAGTTTTTTTTCCTATTATTTTTGTTTTTTCCTATTGCGTTCGCATATATATATTCTCCCCGTTTGGAAAATAAAGATAGACATTTGATATCGATCAGTTAGATCGAATCTCCAGTTAACACTAATGTCAGTTCTATCAATACTGTCAAATATATATATATATATATCCAATCGTCAGACACGAAAATCAAGCCAAAAATAAATACAATCAAATAAAAATACTAAACAATACGCTTCGATAGCTTTTCTCTTCGTTTATATGGTTTGTTTTTTTTTTCTATATAAAGTGCATGAAGGACATTTACTTAATGTCGATCCAATATATTGTCGTTCTGTTATTTCGATATTGGCTCGTGATGAATTCTATATTTCGATCAATTCACAATGTCTCTATTTGTTATATTGTTCTAAAAATATATATTTATTCAAAGAAATGTTTTGTTTTCACTTTGATTGTTTATAATAATTGAAGAGATAATTATTCATTAAATCAAAATTCTATTCATTGCGACAATGATAAAATATCACAAGGAATAATAAATCAAGTCAAGTAAACGTACTGAGTTCAAAGTATTCTGTTATTTGTATCTCACAGAAATTTTTAAATAGTGAACTTCTCTAGAATACTTCGAGGCTTTTATAGTACTTCTATGAAGATCCTTTTGTCGAGATGATTGACATCTTGACATTATAGTAATTATTTAAAGCTTTTTCTTTTTTCTATGATCGTTCAAATGATCAGTCTTTCTGTTACAAAAGATTTCAATTGAACTATTTCTATAAAATTGGAAAAAAAAAAAAAATTTTAAATTCTCGATACTTCTCATTGAAGCATAAACAAGTTTTTCGAAATATCTTCAATTATATTCAAGTGTTATTCTCATTTAGTATAGAAATGTAACTTAAAAGTTTGTGATTAAACTGATAGAGTATTATCAACTGAATAGAAACATTCCATATCAAAGTAAACGATAATGATTTACACCGATTTATAGTCCAACAAATAGAATTAATTAATGAAGAAATGATTAGGACAAACGAAACGTACAGAATATTTTATTCTAGAATATATTCAAGATAGAGTCATCTTAAGCACATCCAGGTGAACATCAACATTTTTCTCTTACCATTCGAAATCTTATTTGTCATATTTCTCATTAAAAAAACATCAAGCCAAGAATTTTCTCCAATTTTTACATTGTTTGAGTTGGAAGGTGCTGATGACTGCTGAAAAACTTAAAGATTCTGTTATATCTGCGGTGTAATTGCAATTATTTCATCGAAAACGGTGACGACTACTCAGCCGCTTCACTTACACCTGTATACATAGTTTGAAAATGAACATTCTTCATCAAGGACAACCGACTTACATCGCATTTACATCAGATTTGCTGGCAAAAATAAAAATTCTTCGAGATCGAACACTCTGTTTTACAGTGACAATAAATAATGACACAGAGAGGCTGCACGATACCACTGGCTACACAAACTATTATCGGAATTTGAAAAGAAGGCCATCGGATGAAATGTGTATAACTTTTTAACGAAGATAGTTAGAGACCTGCGGTTTTCACCATTGAAAAGAGCAGGCCGAGGGACCTCAACTCATGTAAAAATAAAATTTTCCAAAATGTTTTCTAAACTAATTCTATTATCATTTTTTAAAAGTGGATGGATGGAGTGGGTAGAATATCTTATATCTTTCTAACGAAAAGAGCTAGAAAGCTACAATTTCCAACATTCGAAGGAGGAGGTCTGGCAGCACAAATCCACGTGAAAATAAAAAAACTCCGAAGCGTTTCAAGAGCAACTCTAGCGAAGCAAAGTCGGAAAGACAGGAAATTCTTTATAAAAAAACTTTTTTTTTCTGAAAAATAACCTGACGTTTCGACTTTGCTTCGCTAGAGTTGGTCTAGAAACCACTTCGAAAAATTTTATTTTTCCATGAAGTTGTGTCCCATAGTCTGCTCTTTCCAATGGTGAAAACCGCAGATCTCTAACTATCTTCGTTAAAAAGTTATACGCATTTCATCCGATGGCCTTCTTTTCAAATTCCGATAATACATTAATTCTTCATATTGTTCAACCAAAATATTCACACTATTATTCATCAAATATTAACAATATGGAAAGTTTTAGACTTTATTAGATTCATCTTTATTTTATCTTAAAATAAAACTTATTGCGCATATTTCTAATTGGTATATCTATTAGATATAGATTGTTTACCAATGAACAAGGAGGAAAGCGCGGACTTGAAGAAACTTCAACAATAGGGACTTCAAATTTTTCAAAAGACTTCATCAAACTTCAAGAGACTTCATAAGACTTGAAGGGACTTCACAAGACTTCATGGGTGAAGTCTTCGCTGTTTCTCCCGTTACTAATGAATTCCTTTTTATTTTAATTAACTATAATAAAAAAAGTTGTAAATTGAATGTTGATCTAGTTAGACAAACTGTTTAATTTAAATATGTTTTACATTTATTGATTCTATCAGTTTTTTAATCAAAAGTGATATGTTTGAAAAATAAGATTGAAAATAATTCTGATAAGATAATTTAAAGATAGATTTAATTGAACAAAATTGACATGAGATTAAAGTTAGGATTAAAAGCAATAAACAAAGTAAAAGATTTGTAAATAATAGATGAGAATAGAAAGATTGTTAAATAAGGAAAAGGTAAATGAAGATAATTTTCATTTCTTGTTCAAAGATAAGTCTTAAGATGAAAATTTAAATGTAAATATCATTTGTTCGATTGAATTAGTGATGATTTAATGTTGATGTCAATAATCATTTTTGTTTTGACATATGATTTGTTTTCTATATGAATAATATTTTTCTCATAGATTATAATAATAATAAGGTTGACAATCATTGCAGAAGGATATGTATATATATATTCGAATAGAAGAAATATTTCAAAATAAATTAAATAAAGAACAAACTTTTCAATCAGTCATTCATCGAAGTTTGAGATTATTTTTTTCTTTTGATTGATAATAGTTTATTTCGAAGTATTATTTCGTGTTTTCTAGGATGATTTATTCAATTTGAAATGTTTCTCGTTAACAACATTATCTTATTGCTCAAGTAATACATATGATGATATGATTTTACCTCTTTTTCATCATATGTTAAATCTTGAAGAATTAACTTTGGCTATTTTTGTTCAAGATCGAACATTTCTCAATGATACTTCTCTTTATAATGAAATTCTTGTTTATATGGGACAACTTAATATTTTTAACTTTTGGATTTGTACTGATAAGATGAAAGATGATTCAATTGATCATCTATCTAAAGATGATATTCAACAAACTTTTATTAATATTATATTTAAACAAGTAGAATGTATTGTCAATAACTTGTATTGTAGTGCTCAATGTCATGTTTTCTCATTACCATTCATGTTTAATTATTTCGATTATATTGGTAATAGATTTCCAACTATTATTTTTCATTATGTTCGAATTTTATGAGTGCAAGATAATGTTCCATTCGAAGATGAATTTTTCATTCGAATTGCTTGCTCTTTTTTATTACTTGAACAATTAACTATTAATAATCTTAGACCATAATCATCATTATCAGACTAATTAAACTCTAATGATAATCAATTATATTCAATTGTTAATTATTCTTATCTTATTTCAGTTTGCTTTGAAAATGTTCATAATGATTATATTGAACAATTTCTTAATGATACAAAAACACATTTACCTCGTCTAACAATATAAATAATTAATTATGATCAATTAAGACTTCTGACAGAAAATTTTCCAAAAGAAAGAACACGGCTCAATTGTATTAAAGTCAATGAATTAGATCTTATGATGGAAACAATAATACATTCAAAAGATTTCTCTGTTTATTTTCCTTTGTTCTAAGCTTTTTTTTTCTCGGAATAAATTTGGATAAATTAATAAAATCGATAATGAAAACATTCCGAGTATTTTTCCAATAAAATCATATTAAACAACAATTATTAATTAGAAATGCTGATTAACTTGGAAATTTTTTATTCGAAAAAAATCTAAAGTTTCAGTATTTTATTGTGTATGACATCTATCAAAAAAAATTAGTGTTGTTTACTGCATACGTTTGAAGTAGTTGAAAATCGGTTGTGTTTTCATAATCAATGATATATAATTGTCTGGCTTCGCATCAGTCCTATATTTCCTATAATTCTTATATTTTCAAAATCGGTCCTATAATGGACTATATTTCAAGATTTTTGTCCTATAATCCTATATTTTCCGAAAAAATGATGATTCTTTTGAAAAGAGTTGTATAGTTTTTGAAAAAGTGCATCGCTTGTTACGTAAAGATGTCTATAATATAGGATACGACGGCAGCAACGCCCATACAGGGCTCACTTGTCATTAGTCAACTAATATGACAATCATAACGATGATTTATCATATTGTATTTAAAAGGATTTACCTTGAAATGACTATTCCTTTTTTTTCAAAATGTAGGTTAAAAACTGCATTGAAAATTTATTTATATTATTTTTATTTAATCTATTGCGTGAAAGTCTTGGTAGAAAAACCTCGCTATTTTGTATAAGATTTTGTGCTAAGACTTTCGCGTGGTAGGTTAGTCCTAGATTTAACGTTTCAATTTAGAAATTAGAAATATTTCCTTGTTTTCAACTTGATTTAATCGGCACAATTTATTTTCAACCGAATTCAATTGATGTTGCAGTAAAACCTCTATTAGTGAACATCTCCTATCTGAGCACGTGACTCGATCCCCTCGATCGATTTTTGCTATAAATGAATCTCCATATAATGAACACCTCCGAACTCTGAACAGTGAACACTTGTTTTGGTCCTTTCAGCAAAGAAAACCTCTATATAGTGAACACACGTGATACAACGTGCGTGTGTATGTGTAAGAGAGAAAAATAGATAAATAAAACATAGTGTACATTGTGCAGCAGCAGCATACTTGTTTATTTACACTCGCGAGATGAAGACGAGATACACATTGATCCTTCAAGAAAAGATCCAATTGATTGACGATAAGGAAGAGAAAGTGTCGTATCGTTTGCTTCTCGACAAGTATAAGATCTCGATCAGCAGTATATCGAACATCGACAAGTGCAAGATCGAATACATGGAGAATTATGAACATAATGAGAATTCAACTAAAAAGCGCAATCAACGGGACGAATTCGGCCAACTGCTCGATCAAGAAGTTTACGAATGGTTTGTTGCACAACGCACGCAGTAAGAACATCTCTCGGTGGAATTGTTCTACGAAATATTTATTTATTTCCAATTTCATCAAGTATTCAATAGTTTTTCTAATCTCAATTGACAATTTTCTAGTATTATTAATAATATGCCACATATGCCTATCTACTTGGGTCTAAATACAATGAGTATAGTATTGACAGACTTCTATTCAAGGGGGAAACAGCTGATTAGGAAGCTGATAATCACCCTAATCAAGCCTAATCACTCCTAATCACTCCTAATCATCCATAATCACTCCTAATCACTCCTAATCAACCCTATTGAAGTATGATCTAGGAATGTAACAGTACCAATACTACCAATACTGTTTAGTATTGGCGGTATTAGTATTGATAGTATGTCAAGAAAAATCAGCCTTGAAAATTTCGAGAAACCAATCATAGATTCGGATTCCTCGATCCAGAAAATTTTTGATCAAACTTTATAGGAAAACCGTTATTGTTAAAAAATAGTCTGTTCCAGATGAAAAAAAACAAGAATCTAAAATTATTTTGTGAGAATTTGCGAGTTGGATTTTTCTTGTCATACCGTCAATACCAATACTCAAGGGGGAACAAACTGATTTCAATAGCAGAAATCAATTTGAAATCACTTGAAATCCGTCGAAATCAATGAAATCATTAGAAATCAAGGAAACCACCAAATTAGTTTGTTCCTTCTAGGTTTTTTTCTCTTATAATCACTGTACATCATAGGGTTGTCACTAGCAACCAGGGAGTTTGTCAATCCGATCTGTCATTTCGAAAATACAACCTGATATCCTAACCTTAACTATCAGAGAGACCATGCTTGCTGTAATCTGATTGATTGTTTCTTTCTCCCAATCAGATTTCTAAAGAGTTTTTCTTTGATAATCAGCGAACGTCGTAGGATTATCTTTGCCAACCAACGAGTTTATCAATACTACCTGTTATTTGACAAAGACAACCCTATGGTGTGTCCTAACTATAAGAGAGAACCAACCTGCTGCAATCTGATTGGCTGAGGAAAACAATCGTTCAGAGATTGCAGCAAGCCTGTTCTAGAAATCACAGGAAACCACTTGACATCACATTATATGTGTACCATGCAGGTAAAGAGTTACAGGAAGGGTGCCAATTTAAATTTACTTTCAATTTAATTTACACGTAAATTAAATTATCAGAAATTTCAATTTAAAATAAATGTAACTTATTTCTTTTCAAAGTTAAATTGAAAAATAAATTTAAATTATTATAATTTAATTATGTTAAATTTAACTTATTTGCATTTCATAATTTATTAAATTGAAAATTAAATTAAATTAAATTATTCTATTTCCTTTTAACCTATCTTGAGATAGTCTTTATAACTTTTCAAGCTGTACTGAAGATATCCTTCATAACTCTTCAAATCCTATTTGGGAATGTCCCTCATAAGTCTTTATAGTTTATTTCGGGGTACCCTTCATAGATTGTTATAGACTATTTTGATTTGGATACCCCTTATAGGTCCTCATGAGCAATTTCAGGGTATCCTTCGTAGGTCCTTCCCGGCTATTTAAGGGTATCTTCAAGGAGAAAACAGCTAGAGACCGTCGGGTCTAAGAATTTCTGGACTCGGACCCGATTGATTAAGATTCGTTGGCCCCGGATCCGACCCGAACCCGGTCGATTAAATTTTTTAAAGACCCAGACCCGAACTCGGACCCGAACTTTAGCAGTAAAAGTTTAAAAATCTGGACCCGAATCCGGACTCGGACTCGATACATGCAAAATTTTCAGACCCGGACCCGACGGACTCTAGAAACAGTAGACTTCAGGACTTCAAAAAATTTCAAAGACTTCAACGCGCTTCAACCATAGTGACTTCAAATTCTCACAAAACTTCTAAAGACTTCACAAGACTCTACGAGACTTCGCGAGACTTCATGAGGCGTCATGGGACTTCAAAAGACTTCAAGACACTCCATGAGACTTCATAGGATTCCAAGAGACTTTATGACAGAGAAACAATAGAGGACTTCAAGACTTCAAAAGACTTCATGAGACTTCACGAGACTTCAAGAAACTTCAAAAGATTTCAAAAGACTTCAGGACTTCACTGGACTTCATGAACGAAGTTCCCGCTGTTTCCCCCTAGGGTATCTTTATATGTCTTTATGGGCCATTTGGAGGTATCCTTAGAGTGCTTATGGTCTATTTTGTGTACCCCTTATATGTCCTTATTGGCTATTCTGAGGCACTCTCATAAGTCTTTATACCCTATCTGGAAGTACTCTTCATAAGTCTTCATGGCCTATCTCGGGGTAAGCATCGAATAGGGCTTGAAGAACTATGAAGGATATCCCAAATGCGCCATAAGCACTTATCAAGGGTACCCCAAAATAGCCCATAAGGGCCTATAAATGGTACCATTAAATTGCCTATAAAGACCTATAAATGGTACCTCCAAAGAGGCTATAAGGGCCAATGAAAGGTACCTCCAAATCAGCCATAAGGACTCATGAGGGTACCCAAAATAGGCTATAAGAACCTATGAAGGGTACCTCTAAATAGCCCATAAGGATCTATAAATGGTACCGTTAAATTGCCTATAAGGACCTATGAAAGGTACCTTCAAATAGGCCATTAGGATTTATGAGGATATTCCAAACAGCCCATAAGGACCTATAAAGAGTACGCTTACATAGTCTATAAGAACCTATGAAGGGTACCCCCAAATAAACCATAAAGACTTATGAAGGTTATCCCCACATAGGATTTGAAGAGTTATGAAGGATATCTTCAGTACAGCTTGAAAAGTTATAAGGACTATCTCGGAGTAGCTTAGAAAGAAATAGAATAATTTAATTTAATTTTCAATTTAATAAATTATGAAATGAAAATAAGTTAAATTTATTTTCAATTTAAATGAAAAATCGCATGCCTAGCTACAGGTACATTAAATCATGGAGGAATACCAATCATCTCCCTTTCACTCCTAATCACCCCTATCACTCATAATAACTCCTAATCACCCCTATCACTCATAATAACTCCTAATCAAGCCTAATCACTCCTAATCAAGCCTAATCACTCCTAATCAAGCCTAATCACTCCTAATCATTCCTAATCACTCCTAATCACTCCTAATCACTCTTAATCGCTCCTAATCACTCCTAATCAAATAATCAGCTGTTTCCCCCTTGCTTCTATTACACACATTTATCACAATCGAACGTCTATAATCGTCTTATTTCATAATGAGTATCAGATACATTAGCTATTGATAATGGTATATGATTAGCTGAACATTCATCAATCTACGTCATTTATCTTTAATTGACATTAAACGTTCTTCTTTTCAATTGATGCTCAATACATCCTCAATATACATATATCTTGTTATGTTGAATATACACAACTCAGTCTACTATCGTGCTGCTTATACATTTAAAGGTGTGCCTGAAGGTGCATATTATAAACAAATCTTTTAATTATTTTCTCTATAACGGACATGCTATCTTGGCTTCTATCTTGACATATGCGACGTTCTAGATATTCCAATTGGTCTACCACTTAATAAAGGTTTCATACCAATTGAAACAAGTCTTTTGAACTTACAATCAATTGCACTTCAACATTGTTCTTTAAGCTTTCTGTCACATACACTTGAGTATCATCTACAATTGCAAGAGCTCAGCTTTGGTCGTAGCACTTCTTGATTACCCTCAAGACATCCACTTCTGAATGATCATAACAAGTAAGTTTCGCTTCGTCAACTCATGTCAGAGATAAAAATATGAAATATGTAAATATGTTTAGTCATATTATCGTAAGAGATTATCGATGAAAGTGAATCATTTCTGAAGTGATAATATCCTTTTTCTCTAATTGATTTTTCAATTTTCCATAAAAAATTAAACTAAACATGGATTCGATTTTTGAGGTACCTAGCGAGAATCTTCAGGCACTATTCAGAAAGTTTCTGGATATAAAAAGAAATTTATGTTAACATCATTACTACTACTGCTTAAACCGACACAATACGCCATCTATCAAGCAAAAAACATCACTATAAAGATCAGTTGATCATACTCGATTGGTTCTGACCAATATTAGACACCAAATATGAAATAAAAAAATATTTTTAAAAATCAAATTATTTCTTCGATCTAGCAGACTAAACTAAATGTTTTCTATTTAGATGTTTTGAGAACATTATGTCGTCTTATCCATCTCGTAACAATCGTTATAATGATTCTGCGCGTCAATCACATAGTAGGAATTCTCGATTACAATCAGTTAATCCTGGTAATGATGAGAATATCGAAGAAATGTCTGAAGATTTACAAATAAATCTTTGATGATGATTCCAAAGAATGTTCACATCTATTAAAAAAAGTTCTTCGTGATGAACATTCATTTGATATACGTTTTCAACGTATTGAAGAGTTTAAAATTTATCTTGAAAAATCTGATAGTAACAAAGGAATTTCAAATATTGTTTCTTATTTCTAATAATCTTTTATTTAAGTTTATTATGAAATTAGCTCAACCTGCTCTGAATCTTCTTTTTGAACAATTTTAAGAACAGTTAAAATATCTTTTACTTTCCTAAAGATCTAATGAAACTATTCGATCTGAGCTCGCTCGTTGTATTAGATTAATCGTTTATGTCATGCTGAACGAAGGTGAACCAAAGTAGACAATGAAAATTATTTGAATTATATCGTTTTTTTTTTCTGTTTCTCGTTTATTCAAGATTTGCTCAATGAATTTTTGAACGTTTAAATGACGTACGAAAAAAAAAAAAGATTTTGAAAAAGAATTACTTATCGATGCATTTCGTCATAGTATTTAAAATGAACATGAAATCTTATGTTTAACCTCACATATTCAACGTATAAGTGAACAATTAAAAAAAAATTCTTCAATCAGTTGTTCATGCACCATTAATGCTTGTTATTACCGATACAATTATTGATCTTTTCAAGAATTTATCCAGAAATATTTCAAGAAATTTTTCTTCTATGAAATTTAAAAAAGAAAATTACTTGATGTTTTTGTTTTTTGTTTCATAGGATATTGCGGATATTCTGATTGGTTGGTATATTGAACCATTACCTACTGATAGAATTCTGGAATATACTGCTTAAGCATTACATAAATTTCGTCCATTTTGGATTGAACAAATTGAACTAACGACATTGACATTATTAGATCATTTTATTGAAGATGCGGATAATTATGCTCAGGGAAATGAAAATCGATATGAATTGAAAGAAAACATTTTTCGTTGTTTTTTTAATTCTTATAGCAATTTGAACATCAAGAACAAAATGATGAAGAGGATATTGTTTCATTTACTGATAAAATTGTTGCTTTATATAGGTAAATATTTCAAAGGAAAGTTGAGACATACGATGAAGACAATAGATTAGCCAATAATAGTAAATATGTGTTGTACTACAATTTTCATAGAATTTTGCCAGATTTGTAAAACGTTCCGTTGAATTTTTTGCATTTAAGTAAAAATACTTTAATGATTGATTCAAACCGACAATCATTGAATCGAGGAAGAATATTCCGGCCATTAGCTACCTTACGGTGTAACGTGGATCGATGCTTCTAATTCTGAATAAAAGACCGATCTGACTCAGACTCACCTTAGCTTCCAAACAAATTGACTAACCACAAGGATCAATATGCCGTCAACCGTTAGTAACTTTCCCATGTCTGATGACGTTAATGCTCGATAGTTTATCCCGAACAATTAAACAACTCACTTAGAGGAGCTCATGTGATCAAATTCTAAAATTACGACTGACGGTCGGGGGAACATCAAAAGACGACAGAATCATCTTTTGTATTTTCTTTATCGTCCTTTCTGAAAATGCAATTCTTCTTTTCTATCCGATATACTTATTCTAAGATCTCAGTTTTAGAAAGGATATGACTATTCATCTATGATAATTTTTGAAAAAATTATTAATATAAACGCGCGAAATTAGTTTCGCGTTTGACGATTAAACTCAAGAGTTATACAGATTACCGCTATAATAATTGACTCCGACGATTAGATATCTAGTGCAGCACATCTACTCGGCTAACCGAAGATATTATATTTCAGAGCTTTTGCTACTATTCTTCGTCCACTTTCCGATGATTTTGCTTGAACATCAATTTTACTTTCAATTGAATATATTGATAATTGGTTACAAAAAATTTGATATAGAACAGCAATAATTAAACAAGATAAATCCTTTTGTATTCTAGCTAAACATGTCAATATAGCTGTTTGTATTCTATTGGGAACGTTTGCACAATTTGATGAACAACTTGAAAAAGATATATTTGATTTTGTTATTCAACAAACCATTCTTCATACACAAGATTGGCCATATGAAGTCGATGCTAATTTATTTCGTTTAATTTTAAATGTTATTGATTTAGCTGATCATGATTCATGTGTAATATTAGCAAGTTCAATATTTGCAGCCAATTCTCGAATATGGCTTTAGCGATTTTTATATTCGAATTCTGTAAGATTAGAAAAGAAAATTTTCTTTATGATTTTTCTTTCGATTATTTTCTTCTATTATATTCAAAATGTTTTACATCTTTTTAATCGTTTTTTAACAATGACAAGTATTCGAATTGTTCAATAAGTTTATCAAGCTATTTTAGCTGATATAACATCGAATTTCAATGGACTTTTCCAAGCACTTCAACAGAAAGCAATTGTTATTGGTAGTCGAACATAATCATCTTCAACCACGAATGATTTAAATGAAGATGATGCAGAAACAGCATTGATTTTTTATTGTAGTGCATTGTGTCAAATCGGAAATATGAAGGGAAATTTAATTGGAGTATGTTATTAAACAAGATTTGATAAGGAAATATAGTTTATTTTCTGTAGATGTATGCACTTTCACCATTATTATTTCAATAACTTGCTAAACATCTTCAATTAACAAATTCGAAATAACCTCGACAATATCCATCTATGCATTATGGTGTATTGAAAACACATTATTCTCATTGTGCAGTATCAGTTATTTATTTAGGAAGGAATTTGTTTTTATTGAATAAGATTATTTTTAGACATGAACATTTTACTCATAATTCAGATTTATTTAAACAAAATGATATAAATAGTGTAATGAGTTTAACAAGTTCCAACCAAAGATAATTTTGAAGATTCTCTTAAACTTTTTCATCATTTTATTGTTAATAGTTATTTAAGTTGTCATGATAGAAAGTAAGAAAATTTAATAAAATAGATAGTTTGTAATTTTTGTTTTATCTAGAAAGTTAGTTTTCAATTGGCTTGCACAAATTATTGATGCATTACCACAAGAAGATAATGAATTACTTCCATTAACTCTTTTATTGAGATTATCTCATGCGATTATTGATATAGGTTAAAAGAAAAAATTAGTTTTGAAATGAAAATCATTAAGAGGACATGAGTATGAATGGATTGTTCTTGACTCTCGCAAAAAATTCAGCGCATTAGATCGAAGTGCGATCAAGATATTCAAATTTTTCCTTGATCCAAAAATAGTGCTCGTCGAGTGAATCTCTTTTCTGGATTCAACTTCTTAGATGTTACTGAAAAAAAAAAGAATGATCTGTTAACAACTTCTTTCGTCACAGGAAAACGACATTCGAGATAAGAAGAAACTTTGTTTCGCAGGACTCTAATATCCAGTTTACGACTCAGATCCGAGTTCGGAACCAAAAACTTTCTACACAATGACTTTATTGAGTACATAGATGAAGAGCATCTTGTGAAATACGATTTTAAAGGAATATTGAAGTATGAAAACAGATATTTAGACTTCTTCTCTCCGCTCCACAGATCATGATGGACATATAAATGATACACGTACGCAAGAAACTGAAATCTATTACAGACACACTGAGTTTAAACTAACATGTTATGATTAACAATTAACTAGGGGATTACATACTAATAACTTATCTCATTTATGATCTACAGTTTCATCATGTTTCACCATTTAATTCGATAGGGATTGCACTGACAGTTTTCTCAAATAATTTCGTTTTTAACCTGTATATTTTTATGAGTAGAATGTTTGTCTTGATACTATTCAGGTGAACTGACAGACTACAAAATTTTAGTTTATTGCAACAATCTCCTCGTCTGTCCTATTTTCATTCCAGAACTGAACTGTCGCATTTTGTTCCTCGTTTGAACTAAAAACTTTTTTTTTCTTTTCGTTGTAAGGAAATAGTTCTTTAGCTTATTCAGATGAAGAACAAATCGGTAATTTATGTTGTCATTTACTAAACAAAATTGTTAAAAGACAATGTGATCTTGATGTATCATTCTTATTCTGGGAAGATTTTTCGATCAAATTCTTTTCACATATATCAAACAATCGATTTTAGTTTATTTAATTTATGTCGATATTGGTTATAATCAAATCAAACATTCATTTATACTATTTTATGTTGTTTACCTGTCAATATCTTAACAGTCAAAATTCGAATTAAGAAATTAATAAAAAGATTTTTTGGTAGTAAATTTCCAAGACATGGAACATTCTTATCATCAAAAAATGATTATTCTATTGTTAAACAAAATCATATGAATACTCCATACTTAGGAAGATTTACAAGACATTGTTTTTATTTAATATACTTGTTAATCACCAAATGCCGTATGTCTTCCTTGATTGTATTTTTTTCATTTGAAAGATTATTTTTATTAGACGAATGTATGCAACTACATGACTTGAATGTTTATTTCAATTTTGTCAACGTAAAAGTAATAATGAATCTTTTAAAGAAGAATAATTATCTGAATCTCAACATCGATTATTAACTTATGAACAATTACCAAATTTTGTAAATGATGCATTGGTTTGATTTATTTAAATAAGTTTAGATGGGAAATATTTGTTTTTTCTTCTTGCAATTTAAGATTTGCTTTTAGGCTATATGGAAATTTGCACAATTTTGTGTAATGAACAAATTGAAAACATCACTTGGAAAACCTCAAGAAACATTTTTAGCACTCGAAGGTAAAAAGTCATTCTTGAATTATAATGGATTAGTCTCAAACAATTTTTCATTACTGTTAGTTTAGAAACTTTACAATTTTTTGCTTGGTCAATTGTTAATAATACCAAGACAGTCGAGTCATCTTCGTCTGAACAAACAAATCGTTCTTTAACTCCATCATCGACTACAAATCTTCCGGTTACATCATCATCATCATCATCATCATCGAGTGAAGTTAATCTTCCAACTGATAAAGGTGATTGGTGATGTGATTTACATCGATGTGGTCGTCTATTACAATTAATTGAAGCACTTAAAAAATGTATGTATGAAGGTGCCGCTCTTTCACTTCCACAATTCCCTAAAGTAAGGTTAAGTTTTTGTTTTCAATATTTTAATATGATCTTTTTTTTTTCAGACGATAAAATTCTTTTTTATTACAAATAAATCTACATGTCTGGAATGGGTTAATCGTATTCGTATTCCAATTATTTTAACAGCCGTATGTAGTGGTCAATATGAATCTGCTGTGCGAAATTCTAATCAATGTCTAATGCATGTTTGTGCACTAGGTAAAGCAGAGGTAAATCCACAGATTATACCCAAATAATATCTACTTAAGAAATGCGCATAGATTCATTGCTTAACAAGCTTAGCTAATTTTTTTCTCCCATACAGATTCATAAATATTATCTTTAACTTCAATAGAAAAAAAGCAAGCGTTTCATAGTTTCTAGAAAAAAATCAGACAACGTTTTTTTTCTTATTATTTCGATTTCTTTTTAATTATCCTGTCGTTTTGTCATATTACTATAAAAATATGTCAGATCTGATGATGAAGAAGCCTACAAACTGCTTACATTCCATCGTTCTTTCTGTGAAATCGGATCAAGTGGAACATACCAAGTTAATTATCCTCAGATCATCAAGAAAAAATTAGACTGATAGTTTGTTACAATATCAATGATGAGTAACGAAGTTTTATCCGGTCACATTTATTGAATATCGAAAAGCATGAGAACTAGTTTTATTCGAGGAAAATATCAAGCGATCATTCTCTTCATCTTCAACAATTGATATCAAGAGTTCTGGCATTTGAACATGTATATTCTGCTTAAAAAATTTCTCTTCTCCTCTTCCAAATAAGGAAATCTCTTATCATACGTATTTCTTCAGTAGACATGATTTTTGAGACATTCTATTATTGATTTTTCTTGTAAAGGCATCACAATTTCAATTTGTAATAATATCATTTGTTCAATCACTTATTAAACTTCATAACAGTATGGAAATTCATGGAATATATATATGGTTAAAAAATATCCATCAACTTGATTGGTCATGAATACATGTTTGTGAACATGAAGCAGCAGGAAATCTCAAACAAGCAGATTATGAATAGAAATTATTACTAAATGAAATATTTTAAAAATCTTTCTTTAACTAATGATACCAATCGAGAGAAAATATCTGCTGCACTCGTCAAGTTTTTAACATAAAAAGTAAAAAACAAAAAAAAAATCATGGAAGATAAAATAATATTTTTTTGTTTATTAGGTTTATGATTGTTATTTAAGTCTTCATCAATGGCCAGAACTGATAACATGGAATGATACATGTATTCAAATGCAAATACCTTTTTTACAAGATCATAAAAAAGATTTACGTATAACAATGAAAACAACGATTGATATAAATGCGATTCGGTAAGAAACATGAAAGATGTTTTCATAGAAAATAAAATTCAAGTCTTTTAGAGCAATGAGTTATTTTGAGAATCGAGATTTTTATGGTTTAAAAGTAGCAATGAGAAAAATGCCAAATTCACAAGCAATTGGAGAAGAACTTGGTCGAAATATTTCGTGTAGTTGGGATATGGAACCATTTGATATGTTAGCACCTGTGGAGAAATTAAAAGGAGTATCAAAACGAAGGTAATCAAAGGAAAAATTCTATAAATTCTAATCAATTTTTTCTTATAGATCCGGTCTTTGGTCACTAAATGCTGTACTTCAATAAACATAAGATTTAACTCGAATTCATAATGTTGACTCGCATGCTTCATGGTCAGAAGAAAGAGTAGCTATTAGTCAAATTGAAATGAATTTTTATTATTATAATGGATTTTTTTTAGAATCGTGAAGTTCCACTTTTATCGGATCACAAATCTGTATCTGTGCAACACAGTATACGAACATTGAATTCGGTTCTTCTTTACAATCAACTAAATTTCAATAATCAAAGTGAATATATCGTTGATCATAACTCTCATTTATTATTCGAAGTGAGGAGGCAAAGGAAATTTTTTTGCATGTCGCAGATGCTGTAGAATTTTCTATGAAGCCAGAGATATACGAGAATCTTCATGCTTGAAATTGATTCCTATGTTGAACTCAGCAACTAACAATTTAGTTTGCGATCATAGACGGCAAAATTGACTTGAAGATCTGACAGATTTAAACTGTCCGCAAAATCGAGCATGTTACTACTGTCTATGAGACATGACGTAGAGCTAACTAAAAATTTGTGCAGACAAATCAGCTAACCTACACCTTCCTCGTCATCATCGCATAAGTACATGATCTACAAAATTTCAGAAGATTTGACAAAATCTCTAAGGACTTTAAGACTTCAGAGATGCAGTCTGACTGTTCCCTCCTCGCTTGAAGTATAGAGATAGAAGTTTACACCACTGTTAGAGTATGGACGACATTATCCAAGGAAGCCTCATAAATCGTGCCAGACATCTTATCGATAATCTATCAGAAGTCGTGGTCGACACACTAATAATGACCATCACTTTCCTCATAGACTGTGATTAGAGAGCTGCAGATCCAATTTTTTATACAAAGCCGCATTTTTTTTCTATCAACAGTATAAAAACTAGTTGGTATATTTATCGACCTAGAGTTAATTCTCTCGTCGAAACCTCAGCCGAGTATGAAATTTCGTTTGATCACTATTGATTTGATTTTCTTTTTGCATGGATCTATGTTTGAAAAGAGTTTTTCTAATCCAGATAAACATTGAATTTGTTGTCTGAATGACAAGTTCTCAACTGATGAATTCAATAGAATTGCTGAACAACATTTGAGATTCTTCTCTCTGTTTGTAGGTGTATCATCAGCTATTAATTCTAATTGGACAGTTCTTTGAATGGATATAGTTTGATTAGCTTGTCAAGAGAATAACATTACATTATCTTCAAAATGACTCATTCAACAATTTCAATCAACTGATACATGATCAATGGGTTCATTAACTTCTCAATCTAGTAATACATCCTTAGGTTCTCCATTACGTTCATTTCATTCTGATATATCTTCTATTGAAACTTATTCACTTGCTTCACTTATAACAATGATTGAACATTATCAAAATGCTCATATGGTTTTCATTGAATTTGAAAGTGAAAGAGCTAAATAAATGCATGGTTTATCTATAAATAAAGCTAATAATATCAATATAAGAATTCCTATTGAATTTCTTTCATCTTCTATTCCACGACATTTAATAAATGAAAGTGAAATTAATCCTTTATATAATACTCAATGTTCAATAATTAATATTGAAAAATGTTCACGAAATCGATTAGATATTGCTAAATGATAACGTACAATACTTATCAAACAACAAGAACAAATGTTATATCATTAGGAAAATGATTTCACTTAAGAAAACAATATCTTCTTACTGGATTAGGTGTTGATATTGATGGAGGTCTAGTTATTTTCTTGCTCTTTCATTTAAAATATTGGTTTTTTTTTTCTTTTAGAAGCTTTTCTTCGAAAAAATGTATCTCTTGATCAATTGTTAATTGGAGAATTATTAGATTTTTCTACATTAACTTGTCCGAATTTAGTTAAAACATGGTTTAGATTTGCTGATTGGGCTTAGATTTGGGGAAGAGAATTATTTGCTCGATCTATACCGTACGTAGTCAATGTATGAAAATATCTAGTTCTAAATTTTTTATTTTGTATTAGATTATCTTCATTGGATTTTGGACAACAAATTCTGGCAATTCTTCCTTCGGTTTGTTCTTAATTTTTCATATCTAAAAAAGAGAAAGAAATATCCTACAGAATTTCCGTGCTCATACTAAGTGAATCCTTTGGACTCATACCAATACATCTTGTTCAGAATTTCGAATAACCAAAAAAGACTGAAATAAAATCCAAACTCCCTTCTCAAATGTTAGTCTTCTCAATGTCAAGAGAGTAAGTGCTGTGGTTAGGACTTGCTGATTAGTTTTTCTCAACACTGGAGAAAACGAAATCATTTAGAAATTCTGTTTACCTTATGTAAAGCTCGACATTGATGAATTTCTTGTATGTATCTCCTACTTTATCTTTTAGGAAGTTTCATCGGATGAAATCAGTGAAATATTTCGTATTTTATCTTCGATTCAAATTTTGACCGATGATCATTCTGAACTTGTAAGTTCAACTATTCTTTAATAATTCTTCTTTCGAAAATGTTTTTTTTTTTTTTATTTTAGACTGCTGAAGGAATTATCATTTCCCCATTCTTATTGTTAAGATTTATCTTGTGCTTGTTCATTACTTCCAAAACAATCAATATTAATCGAACAATTACTTGCTTTACATCCACAATTTGATCGTCGTCCTTATTTTCTTTTAGAACAATCTTGTCGTGCTTATTTTACATATTTACAATTAAGTTATACAAATACTTATGGAAATGTCAATGAGGAAAAATCTAATAATAATAATAATGATGCACCAAATATTCTTGTTACATTATGTTTATTAAATGTACTTGTACGTTATCCTCAACAATTACGTTCGATAGTTGAAATAATTCTCGTTAATATGACAACTGTAGCATGGAAACATCTTATACCAGAATTATTTTCTCGTTTAAATCATCGGGATAGTTTTGTTCGAGATTATGTAAGAAATTTCTTAATAGGTATAACAAAAGATTTTTCACAATTAATTCTTTATTCAGTTATTCTTGGAATAACTGATGATTCGAAAATGCGATGAATGAAATCTCAAGATGAAAATATTTCTAAAAGAAAATCTTTGAGTATACATCGTTCAGATGATCAAAGATCACAAAATGAAATTGAAGAAGAAGATGAAGAACTTGAAAAAAATGATGATGATGGTGAAAAACAAGAAAATCTTTTAGCTATACAAAATAGTTTTAGACTTATTTATAATGTACTTTCGGAAACAAATGCAGATGTTGTTAGACAAATGAAATTATTTGTATATCAATTATGACATGTTACTGTTTTATGAGATGAACTTTGGTTAGGAACAATGGCACAACTTCAAGAAGAAATTAGCCAGTTAGTTTGAGAGAAAGAAATTCGTACGATGAAATGGAAGTTTTGAGAATTATTGAAGGATTGCAAAATATATGTTAGCATTCAATCTTGAGACGTACATTGCAATGCCAAGTACCGATAGAGCACAGCGAATCTTGATTGATTGTCATGCGAAGAACCTAGTAGATGAATACCTTAGAGAAGGATAGTTCGGCATAAAAATCAAACTAATTGTATTTGATGGTCCAGAGCTGTTTCTATTAGCAACAAAAATTCATCTTTGCTTGATGGATGAAGTGTTTTTGAGCAATTTCGACAAGAGAACTGATAAAACTAGCGACAAAGTGGCTCGTCACTCCGGCTAATTTCATACTTGCAGTCGTCGACAGTCTATCCAAGGAATAATATAGATATGTGGGCTTTTATTTTTTTAATAAAAGAACAAATGTTAATGCATCAAAATAATGAAGAATAGGAAAAGTATTAAAAAAAGTCTCTTTCGGCTTCTTAGAAAATGAGCTATTAGTCCAATATCTATGAGGATAAAAATGTTAAACATAATGAAGCGAATGTATTAACTTGATTTTGATCAATATGTCTTCAGGGTTTGCCATCGAGAGATTCCGTTGAGATGTGTGCAATGTATCCTTGCCAAAATATCTGTGCTCGATCGTTAGAACGATTTCTATAATGAGTCGTTTCTCGAATGTTTATCGCGGTCTATACCATCCCGTTGCTAACGTACCTATCAGAATATGTGATGAAAATGTTTATCACGATTTTGAGACGTTCAACTTTTATCTTTACACTTGAAAACTATTTATAAAAATAAAAAGTTCGTTTATTCTCTTTCTTACTTATCTATATGCCATCGATGTACAAGTACTCAACTTTTTATCATTGATAAAAACCAGATCTATGTATATGCCTTTTTTTAATTTTATTCTAGACATGTTTATGCACTTAAAGATGAACTTCATCGTCTTCAATCAATGACACATTTAACAAAAGCTGAAAATGAATTTTTAATCAAAGAAAAACAAAATGTTTTATTTAAATCTGTAAGAAATTTTTCTCTTAATTGTGTCTAAAACCTTTTTTTCTCTTCAGTTCATTACAGTTCTTGAAGCAGTTAGTCAAATAACACGTTCATCTGCTCAAACACCACGTGAACGAACTTTTCAAAAAGATTATAGGTAACAAATCGATGCAACAATCGAACAATTAAAACAACTTATCACCCTCATCCTCACCCTGGTTACAATTACAACAAGTAAAAACAAACATATTTTAGAAACAAATACATAAAGTAATCATTCTCATATATATACATATATTTTACATGTTTGAATCAAATAAACAACAATTTTTTTCTATTTCAATACATTCATTCTACGCAAAAACAAATTTATTTAAGTAACAGTTGAAAATAATCATCATACATTTGTCGTCTCAAGAAAATAATCTTTGAAATGTTTTGGAAATCGAGAAATTTTCTCCCAACATCTATATCTCACTTTTGCACAATTATTTTGTGTTGTTTTTCGCCTAAAATTGTGTGTCACTCTTTTTAAAGGTTTATAATCGATTAAAAGATCAACATTAGACGGTAAACATGTTTTGGTACCAAGAAGAAATTGTTCCACATAATCATCATGAGCCTCATCAAAACCAAGCCACTTAAGATAAGGATATTCAATAATTAATAAATCTTGATTGTTATTTTTTAATTTTCTATTTTGTTTATTCTTTTGTGCTTTTCGATTATTTATAGATAATTTTTTTATAAATGGAAATGATTGAGCAATTCGAAGAAAAAATTCATGTTCAAAAGGACGTTCATCAAATAATGACACATTACAAACACATGTAAATAATCCACCTGGAAAATTATTTGCGATATTTTCATAACTTCTGATTGTAAATGGACATGAATAAATATGACATTGACCTTTGTTTGATTCTAGAAAATAATTGGCACAAGAAATAATTTGACTATTTGAAAAATCTTTGAATGTATGTTGGATATCTTCATTTGATAGTAAATCAGTTTGATCGTTTAACAATATAGTTGAACGAATCTTAAACCGAAATTGATTTAATCGCGGCAAATAATTAATAATATTTTGCTGCAAATCAACTCCATCAACAAATCCATTATTACGATTAACCGACAAATACAAACTAAGTTGTTCTAAATTTGACATTCGATGTAAGAGTGGTATAATTATTGTATCATAGAAACGTATGTTCGAAAGATAATACAACGAAAAACATCGTAAACTTGGTAGTTTTTCCTAAAAAAGATAACATAGATATTAGTGAGATTTAATAAAAACCATACTTTATTTATTTTTATAGGCGAACGAGGAATTGAAAATACTATATCAACACAGAACGTTCGAAGTTGATTGAAACAACCATCAAGTAAATAAAGACAATCATTAATAAAGTTTACTTTGACATGTAATTCTAATAAAGTTGACGAGAACACAGTTAAAGGCGAATACACGAATGATGTTCGTTGATCACAGAGAAATGGATTCAAATTTAAATATTGTAAATTGGTGAACATATTAAAGATATGTGTGAATATCAATGTATCTATATCTACTGATATATCTTGTTTGTTAATAGTTTTAATCATGAGTGATGAGATTTGATGTTTGTATTTATGCATTAAAGAAGTTTCATCTAAATATAAATACAAAATTATTGTAAAGACAACTAGTTTTTCTTTTCTTTTTACAAACAAAAGATAAATCAAATATGTAATCATCCAATTAACTATATTATGAGTTTATATAAAATAAATCATTTCAATTGTCATCTATTTCGATGTATTAACCCTTTCGTACTGGAGGTTTTTGTACCAACAAAAAATTTTTGACTTTTATCAAAAGCTTGGAAAAAAGATGTGTATGTGCATGGCAGTACTATATGGAATGAAACGCTGATTCTGGTATTGGGAATCGCTTTTACGGTCTTGCTAAGTGCCAGAGTCTCACAGATCATTCCATCCTGTTCTTCCTTAGAGTACAACTTGAATGTAGTAGGATAGTATTTGTGTACGAATATTGGCGTAACCACGGCTGTGGCATTTGGAACAATACCTCAAGAGTGACGGCCTGATGTTAGAAGTAAATCCATGATTCTGTATGTATAACGACATTTTACCTCAATAGCATGATGCATTAAGCGTTAATTTGATACCATTGGGTTGTGCTATTGAGTATAACTTCTGTAAGATTAAGCTAGGAGAAGTCTACGAAAAAAGCACTTAATAAGATAGAGAATGAACAGTCATCCTCTTGCAAAAGTCTGCTGAAATAAAGGAGTTATAAATGTCAGAGAAATATTCTGAAAGAAAGCTTAGCCCGTATATATACGGACTCTGGCACGAAAGGGTTAACTATTAAAAGAATTCAAATAAAAATACCTTACCAGTAAATAGACTTAAAGCTGTCTGTCTTAATGTTGTATATACTAAGTCCAAATAAATTCGGATAATTTGCAGAAAGAAAAACACGTTTCATAGATGAAGATTCAAGTTCAAGCCATTTGATATTATGATGAATATCACGTAAGATCTGTAAACAAAATCGATCAAGCATTAAATCAGGTAATGGATGAATATAATCATATGATGAGTAATTGAATAATTTTAAACTTTTAGTAAACATAGAATCATATACAATTTTATTAAGTCGTTTATTAACGCCGATGAGAGAATAAAGTAGGTTAATATTGTTTAAGTTTTTAAAAATAATCAAAAGAATTTCATCAGGTAAATCATTCAATTGAATAGATGATTTTTCCATGTTGATCTATATCTATATTTATTTTTCTTATGTTATAAATGTCCATAATTGTACACTCTAAAAAATTTCCGTCTTCTAGGAAACCGACCAAAAAGGTTTCCGAGCGCTCGAAAACCCAAATCCGTTTCCGAGAGCGACTCGGAAACCCTTTGAGGGTTTTCGAAGGCAAAAAATAGGTTTCCGATAACAAAATTGGAAACCGAAATGGGTTTCCGAGAAAATTATCCGTTTCCAAGATTCGGAAACCCATTTCGGTTTTCAATTTTGTTACTATCGGAAACCTATTTTTTGCCTTCGAAAACCCTCAAAGAGTTTCCGAGTCGCTCTCGGAAACGGATTTGGGTTTTCGAGCGCTCGGAAACCTTTTTGGTCGGTTTCCTAGAAGACGGAAATTTTTTAGAGTGTACGTGTATATTTATAATCGCTCATTCTATTTGACCGACATCGTCAATAAGAACAATGATGTATTTCGTTTCAATAGTCCAATGATTTAAATAGACAATGAATGAATGACATTATTTCTTTTCTCATGCAACTCGTCACACACTTGATAAACATTTTCTTAGCCAGTTAATTTGAAGTACGACATATGTACATTTATATTTAGAATGTTGCCCATATCTTATAGCTACTCTTGTTACAAATAACTTTTTTTTATAGCAAGAGTTCAATGAATAGTGGTAGCAGTATGTATGCTAACATATAGGAGATAGTAATGAATCAGAGAAGTTCGTGGAAAAGAAAATAGCATCAAGTCAAGTGAGTGACGGCAATTTTATCATGATATTGTCGTGAGCGATCATCAACAACAATTTGTACCCTGTAAGACATGTAAAGCTTTATTATTTGTTACATCAGCAAGTGATACAAACGATTCTGAAGTTAACAGTATATTTATGTTCGTTATTTGACTTATGAAATATACTTGTTGCTTATAAAAATAAGCATTTGAATATTTTACTGATATAACTCCGACGTTAATCCAAAAGAATTCCTCTTAATTATTCGAACTCCAACTCCGAAAGGTATTTTTTCCGTGACTCCGACTCCAACTCCAACTCCAGAAATTTTCTTTTTTGCAACTCCAACTCCATTGGAGTTGGAGTTTGGAGTCTAATGCAGTACACTAGCAAGAGCAGCTCTACAAAACCTAATATACCACTACTTCTCCAAATTTAGCGTTTAAAAGATTTACTAATAAACATTTCGATCACTTTTTGATCATTTTTGAATCCAATGCTCTCTAATGATCATTTAAGATTTCATTTCTAATGCAGCAAACCGAATGAGCGAGACACATTTTTAGAATGAGCTTGATATGTCCTATCTCGCGATATATACATATAGGCCACTTGGTCTTAACATAGAAAAAAACATTCTCATATTGATGAACACTAGACTCTCATACTACATATCGTAAGTCATGACTTCGACATTTTCTTGTAAAGTGTTTGTCGTTTTATAGGAAGGATCTATAGCAGATCTTTTATCACCAAAGTGAGGTTATCGACTATGCTCTGCACAGCTATGGTATTTAAATTTGATTTGGAAGAAGTGATGTATAAAGTGTCACATATACAATGGAATTACCCATACATAAAAAGTTATCCGCTATATTCAATATTACTGAATCACTTCTTTCATATCTTGATAGTTGTTAAATGCGGACAATTATCAGCTGTATTCCTAATTAGTACTTGTGTTGCAGACTTTTGAAAAGAAATCTCTGATCATATGTGTGCAATCAAAAAACTAGTAAGATAATATGAAATTTCTATGATAAACTTGATTACCAAGCCTACAAAGATAGTAAACATTAAACTGACAATATTTCAGTTCTTCTTTATCATTACGTCGTCTTGTTCAGTCTCTAGCTGTCTATCGAACATAAATATTATGACTCGTTTGTAATCAGACCTGCCTCATCTCATTTATAGTAAGAATATCAATCATTTCAGAGAAAATTCAAATACATCGGCATGTTTCATTGAATATAAAACAATCATAAACTAAATTTTTTTTCCGGAGATGAAACTGAACAATAAAAAATCTTTCATCAGTCTCTTCTTCATCTATCGGACGTAGCAGAATTGATCATTTAAACGTTGTTACTTTTCCTATTAATATCGTTTAAAAGTGAGTTTATGCAAAAGAATTAAACAAGTATTTGATGTTGCTATCCTATACTAGAGATATCAGTTAGCATCACGTAGTGATCTAGAAACATGTTCCCAAATTAGTTCCAGTTCGATTGAATTATATCTGGTAAAATTAGAAGAGGAAATAAGAAAAAAAATGGCTTTGACATTTCCTTTATTTGATTTATAATAATATCGGAGTAACAAGACAAGAGAAATAACACAACAAGAGAAATAACACAACAAGAGAAATAA